ACGAATGCGAATGTTCGGAATAACATTAAAGAAACTTTTTTTTGTTGCAAATAGGCTACAAAGACTAGTTGCATAGTCCTGCGAAATCATAGGGTTTGAATTTGTACTGTAACGAAGAAAAAGCAAAGTGTTGTGTATGCACCTTGCTTTATTTCAATTGCATCGCAAGCAACAAAAGGCATTTTTTTATGCTCTGGTATGGGAAAAACTTCGAATGACCAGCTGACACAGCTATATGGATTTAGCCTTCGAAATTATTTCACGTTGTCGTTCGCTTTTAAAATTGCTTAAAAAATTTTGATTTTACAACTTTTTTTTATCATACTTTTTGCATTTCAGCCTTTTTTTATGAAATTGCAATGTTCGCTTTAAACCTCTAGATTAAAAGATTTCCTTTAGCAATTTTTTCCCATTTTAAGGTTTAAAACACATGATAAGTCGGAAAATATAATAATTGATTTCAAAACTGGGCAAAAATTTTCTTAATATCAGGCTTTTTGAATAGAGCTTTTTCTGGTGAAAGATTAAATTTTATTTTTTGAGAATTGAATTGGCCTTAATGCTGCATTTATAAAAGCCACTTATTCTATTAGATCCACCAGCCAGTTGATGTTAAAAATCAAGTTGAGTTTATTCTGCAAAATATTCGTATCATTTGATGCGAATGCGAATGTGTAAAATTATGCGAATCATTAGCATAACGAATGCGAGTGCAAATATTCGCAACATCCCTGGTACAGACTACATTCCTCTAATTTTTCTTTGATTTTTTTTTCTTTGTGCGATGCGGATTAGTTCACATAGGAGTAGCGTCGTAAAGTAAGAATAAAAAATAAGTGGATAAATAAATATATTATGACATTTCAATAAACAAACAAAATCAAAATGGTAGCGCTTTGCATTCGAAGCAGGGGTCAGTTGAATGCGTTGAGTGATGCGAAACGAACTTCCGAGTGGTATAGAAATATTTAATGAGGAACTGAATTCAAATGCGTAGTCTGCTTTTGAGTAATATGGAATAAGTTATGAGAACGGGATAATAATAATAATATATTATGTATAAATAGGCAAACATGTCTTCCTCACACCCTTTCTACAGCTAAACGTATACTTCTGATAGAGATAAAGATAGAGACAAAGAAAATTATAAAACTGAAGAATGAGAAAAGTATATTACGTTATGATATCTTATGTTATGGTGTGTTATCATATTTTATATTTTTATTTATGTTTTTTTTTTTTTGTTCTACTATGTTATGCCGTGTTGTAACATCATTGTTATTCAACGCATTTCACCACAGCTTTCTTGAAGTCACGTTAACTCGCCGCATCTCACCTCAACTAACTTCACATTAACTCCTCTCACTTAATTTCAACTCTTCTAACTCAAGGCATTTCGTCTTAACTCAACTCACCCTAGAGGTGCGAAACTATCGATGGCACTATCGATGAATGGTAGGTAGCCACTATCGCGATACTATCAACAACAAAAAATGGTGAAGCCAAAAACTATCGAAAATATCGAATGGTCCAACCATCGACAGTTTAAAACAGCGGGCCCTTAGGGTCTCCAACAGAATCTGGAAGAATAATAGGCAAGAAATAATTAAGCGAGTTTCTTACGCGAACGATCTAGGCGGTTGAAAACTAATTCGCTAAGCACACCCCTTTTTCCCTATTGTTTTATGGGCAACTGTGCAATCCTTTCCTATCCAATCTAACCGAATCTAATGTAATCGAATTGAATCGAATCTAATGTAATTGAATCTAATTTAATTGAAACAAATTTAATCTAAATTAATCAAATCTCATCTAGTCAAATATCATCTAATCTAATCTGGTCTACTCTAGTCCAATCCAATCAAATTAATCAGATCCAATTTACTCTAATTTAATCTAGTAAAATCTAGTCTAATCTAATTTAATCCAATCTAATCTAGTCTAATTTAATCTAATATAATCCAAACCTTTCTTACTTTAGGTACAAATTTAAGAATATGCGAGTATTTTCAGAAGTAGCTTTCAAGTGCCCGGTCACTATTTGGTTTGTTTTGAGAATAAATACACAGCGTCTAGTATTTACTACGCCAGAGTTGGATAATTTAGGCTTGAGTTATCGGCTCTAAATTCACTTTAGGATTAATAGGGCCACTTGACTCATTTGCAAAAAAAAAAACTTCAAAAAGCTCACTATTTTGCTTATTTTGGCAAACTTTTACTACCCAGATTAAGATAAACTCTCCCTTGCCAAAGTTCCGCTTTGATTTCAAAAGGGGTCTAAACAATTATTTAAGAGAGAATAAATATGTAGCTGTATGAAGTCTCGCATAGCAAAAATGGTATTTTTAACAATATTATTTTTAGTGATATTTCAAAAGTAAACAAAAACTTATCTGTGTAAACAGAATCCTACATAAACCTTTTCTGGCTCAATGGCTAACTAAGATTTTAGAGGTCAATTTGTACAAAGTTAACAATTACAATTTCCGAAGCTTAAAAGTTGGCCAAAATCTTCAGAGTAGTTGCCGTAGGAAATAATCAAACTGCTGTGCTTCATACATACATACAAACATATGTATGCAGATATGCGCATATACATAAATACTAGGAAGTTGAGGGAGAAATTCACTGTGGTGGACGATGAAAATACTGCAGGCGACCAAAAAGGCTAAGGCATTTCCTAAAATTTCAAGTGTAAACAGCAAATAAAAGGATTTGTAATTGATGCCTTGAGCTATATAATGTTACTTTTAGACTTTAATTGTTAGTTGATATGTATGATAGCGCAACCAACAAAACACAAACATAGTAGAAATTAAACAGTGTTTTGATTGGGATTTGTGTGTTGTGATATTGTGGATTATTTTTCAATGAATAGAAAAGGTTTCATTTACACATTTATTGAAATTCTTTGTCCAAAACATATGTATTTATGTACAAATGTGTGTGTATATAGATACATCAATAATTAATTGCTGGGTGTGAGAAGGTAGCCATGGCTATTAAAAGATATGTATTTAGTAAAAGGAATTGCTTACGGCTACATACGAACGGGTATACCGAAAAGTGCCATATCCTTTCTGTAAAGGAAAGCCATCCTGTATGCAATTGCTAAATGAGCGAAAATTAAACGATATAGAAAGAAAAGACGGTAGCACACTCTCGGTCGCTTTAGGAGGAAGAAGAGAGAGGCAAAAATATGAAGAGATTGACTTGTTGGCCGGTCCGAGAGTTCCATCAGAAAAGGAAGTAGAAATTAAATAATTTCAAAGCTAATGCAGAAACGAAGAAATAAATTCGGTTGTAAACATCCAGAGTAAATTGGATATATTTATGACGCCAACACACAAATTTAAAGGGACGCAGCTTACATAGCTCCTCTACACTATAATGAGTTAAGGAGAGTAATAAGGCGGCTTAAAAACACCAGAACCTCCGAAGACAATGTACTACCGTGTGATCTGCTCAAACCCGGTAAACTCTCTTGGATTGGTTCGCGGTCATAGCCACGCCGAAGAAAATGGTAGAGCGGATGAACTAGTCAAGCCCGCAGCTCATTTGGATGAAACTACAGCGCACAGTGGTTCAAAACTGGAATTTAATGATCATAAAGCACTTTGATTATTTTTTTTTTATAAATGAAAGCTTATAAAATTATCAAGAGACCAGTTGAGCTCGCTTTTTGAATTTTTATATGTTTACCAAAATCAATTTTTTTCCTTGTAAGGTGCAAATGTGAAGTAGAAATTTTTTTAAGAACTAAAAGAAAAATTATAATTTGGTAAATTTTTTTTTTATACATTTAAATTTTTTTTTTAAGTTTTTTCATTTTGGGGAAACACTACAATTATTTTTTACCAGTTTTTATTATGTAACATTTATTAACTGGAAAAGGGGAATCGATTTTCTTCAAAATTGTTACTTTTCTGCAAATTTAAAACAAGAAAATTTCAAAAAAGGATTTCACTTAGGGCTCCACGCGCGGGCTTTTGCAATTAAAGTAAACGATTAATATTTTACAGGCTTGTTGTGGACCTCATGATGCAATATATTTTTTCTTTTACCAAAGAATTTAAGAAATATTAAATTTTCGACCCGTCCTATTATATATATATTAAAAAAAGAAAATAGAATATATAAATGAAAAAAATAAAAAAATTTTAGCAATGGCTCCGACCGAGGATCGAACTTGGCTTCTGCTATCGCGAAGGCCAAACACTTGTTTTTTGCTTACTTGTACAATAGACAACAGCTGGTCGTTTGGGCTAAATAAAAAATAAATTCATATGTAGTACCTACATAAATAACGGCAGCTGAGAAAGGGGCGACTGCTAATAAGTATAGGGTCAAGGGCGGAAAAAGACTGCTAATCTGCCACTGCCCACGAGTTTCATACCACAACCTTGTCAGTGTTTAACAAATTCACATATTTTCAAAAAAAAAAAACAAAAAGTTTAACATTTTTCAGCCGAGTCGTTATGTTTTCCAATAATGTATTCTGCGTATTTCCCCCTTCCCAATTTTGTCTGTCACTGCCAATTAGTCCTCTGCAACATCAATCAAATCCAACTTTCACAACTCCCCTATTATTCTATATTTCATTGTTAAATTCCATTTTCTTGTAGCCCCTTGAAAACCATTTAAAGCCATTTAAAGCTGGCATAAATTCTCTAGATTTCCACTAATCTGTCGACAAAATTTGCTGTCCTCCTCAAATTGCAACCTTTAATCTCCTAAGCAAATTCATTTGTGCCATTTGAGTGGCAGAGGCTGTGGTTATAAATAAATATTTGTTGGTAATCAAATTCTGCTTGGTATTATTCCAATCATACAAATACGCACATTTTTTTTTGCTCATTATTTTTTGTTTATTTTTTCACTTTAACACCTGCAAGCAACCTGACCGCACGAAATTCCTGTACACACACACACACGCGCGTGCAAATTGCATAGCAGCCACAAAATTCTTGTTCGCTTTCCTTTAATTCATACTCACTCACCTCTTCGGGATTATTGCTGAACATCGTGGTTGATTCGACGCCCGCCCGACTTTTGCTATCCACGTTACTACTACTGAATTCGGTGTCCTCTACAGTGTTCACTGTATTAGTTGAGTTGCCCTCGACCAAGCCAAGTGTTGTTTGGCCCGCGGCGCCGGTATGAGGTGTTGCAAATTTACCAATACGTAACCTGAGACGTTTGCGTTTCTTCTGCGCTGACAAATCGGGCTGCAATGGGGATAAAAAACAAACACACACATATATGTATATATATATATATATATACTCACAATAAGAGACACATAAATACATACAGCAAATAGAAAAAATAAATAAAACCGAGAAATCAGTTAAGTGGTTAACAGGAAACCGAAAAGTGAAATCAAAGTGCTCTAAAGCACACCGGTAGCAGTCCATAGTCATATATAGTACATACATATATTTTATTGTTTGTGTGTTTGTATATGTGTTTAAGTTTATTTGAGTGTGTGCAAATATTCCCAAAAAGGATCGTAAAATTGTCAAAAATACGAGCCAATCTGGCAACAAATTGATAAGAAATTCTGTCAGTTTTATATACGGTGGACAAATGAAAATCAAGCAACAACCCATCAAACTAAAGTTGATGCTTCACTTTAATCCTGACCCCACTTAACTCTGCTTCCTCTTTGCACACTCTTATTTGACCACGCTACACTTCATTGCTCGTCGACTTGCTGCAGGTAAGTGTAAGCTGCAACCTTCTTTACTCATGCGATAAGCGAAGAGTTTCGAAGTGCTTCAGCATTGCAAGGATTGGTTGGGTAGCGAGGGCGCACAGTGGTGCAAAAGCGAAATTTACTATTCAAAGGGGACTATAGTGCAATTCTTGAAGTACATACTCAACCTTTTTTAAATTGAAAGATAATCAAATTAAGTGTCTTAAGAATTTATTTTTATAAATTTATTTTATTTTCATACATAGTTTTTTTTTTTTTTTAACAGAGTTAAGAAACACATTCGGCAGCAGAATATTTTTTGTAAACATTTCAAATGTAGTTACTCTTTACACATATATGTATGTATATTCTCTAAAACATAAATCGAAAATTTTCCCATTTTTGCAAAAAAAATATTTTTTTACATAAATATCGGCACAAATCCTCGACTGAATCCACCGCGATGGTGGCGGCTGGAAATGGGTACTACAGAGTGTGCCTGTGCGATGTCAGGACGTTATCCATCTAAGATCAGGGGCCAGTGCTCTGTGCTTAGGCTCCTTAATAGCCTTGCTAGATGAAAACCATCCTTAGCCATGGCTGTGAGGTAAATTTAAAGGAGCTGGATCAAGGTGTGACGCGGCCAGGCTGGGGCCACAAAATCGGTCGGTCGTTAGAGGAGCCTTTCCGACAACGGGTCGCCTGCTGAAGTAACGATAGCCTTACCTTTGGCAAGGGGCACTACTACGGCGGACAATGCATTTTAACACAATATATTTTGAAATCTGCGTCTGCCTCGTCGCGCAGGTGATCGTACGAATAAGATGAACAACTACAAAAATAAAGATAAAACAAAAAAAGAATAGGAGAAGAAGAAAGAAAGTCGAATCGCTCACTAGAGTCGCTAGGGGAAAAGCGATCAACAAATGAGATAGTGACGAGAGCAGCGTGTGCACCGTGAGGTGTGCCAGTGAGAGCGCGCAGAGATGTGGAGACGGCAGAAAGTAAGCACGTCCGAAATAAAGAGTGGGGGAAGGCTCTACTGCAATACCAAGCGACAGTGGTAATACAGTTCCTGAGAGCCGCCTTTGACCCGAAACACCGTGGGAGCGAGCGGTTAGCTTGTGCCCGAGAGATTATGAGGTCAGGGCGTGCACAGTTTGATGACGAATGTTTTGATGAAAAATTTGAAGGTACCCTAACAGAATAGAGTAGAAGCACGCCAGAGGCGAGTCTAAAAGGCAGCGCGTCCCTGGAAAACGAGAAGGCGGCTATCAAACGACAGAAAAACTCCGCATACAGCGATAAACCGCTACTCCCAGACAGGACAAAGGCGACAACGTTGTCTGACCGTCGACTTCGAATACGGCAACGTCAAAGAGCAGCGGTCAAGCTGAGAAAGCCGAGTGCAAAGATAGAATCCCAGGTACCGTGATATTAAGCGAGGTAGCCAAGCAAGCCTGAGAGCAGTTCATAAATTCAAAAATGACTAACTCGAATTAATTCAGATAAATCTTTTAAGATAGAATTAGGACGTTCAGGCGCTGCGAAATTTAGAGGACCGGGAAATGGCCAATAATTACCCCTTTGAATGTTTTTAAAGCTTCTTGCCCTTTGAGAAGGACCAAGGGTAAAACCGGACCACTTTGATGGAACCCCGAGTTGGGAACAACCCCCGGCGAACTTCGTCTCGCCCAAAATAAATTTTTTGTTGGAACTTTTTGGTACTACACTTTCATTATTATTCACTTAATGACCGCCAGTGGTACATTTATTTGCTCTGATTATGGTTTTGTGGTCGTCAGAAAGCATATCTTCCATTGCCATTTTAAATAACCTAAACGAAGCGTTGTGTCCGTGACGAAGTACTTGCAATTTTCCAATGATTTGGCGTTTAATCGCACAGTAAATCGCACAACACTGATCGATTTCGATATCCGAGTTGTCAACGAAATAATTTTGTTTCAGTTGTTAGGGTGCTTGTTCGTCATGAGGTCATCCTGCATAACTTTGGCGCGTTGCTGAGGTTTTTGATTTGCACTGCTAAACGCCAATCTTTGTAAATTGCGGCTGCATGAGGCAATGTTTCATAAATTAATCGGCGAATAGTTAACGCACACTGAAAGTACAATGTGGAAAAATTCAAATTATCTTCGAAGGAATCGAACTATATTTGGAAGGGATAGGAAGGCATTGGAAGGGATAAGAAGGGATAGGAAGGCATAGGAAGGGAGGGATATGAAGGCATTGAATGGGATTGGAAGTTACAGGAAGGGATAGGAAGGCATTGGAAGGGATAGGAAGGCATTGGAAGGGATAGGAAGGCTTTAGAAGTGATAGAAACGCATTCGAAGGGATAAGAACGTATTGGAAGGGATTGGAACGCATTGAAAGGGATAGGTACGCATTGGAAGGGATAGGATGGTATTGGAAGGGATAGGAAGGTATTGGAACGGATGAGAAGGCATTCGAATAGGACGGCATTGGAAGAAATGCTGTCTTTCTATGCATACTTACAGGACGTTAGAAAAAGCGGTTCCAGAACGAAGCGATTTGAGAAGTTCAATTTTCAAGGGAGGTGCTTATACCCCCTTTTCCAATACCTGCCACTTGTCGCCAAAAGTACGGTATTGGTAACATAAGCAACTGTATAAAATTGCAGGACCTCAGCATAAGCGTTTCCAAAGATAAGCGATATGAGAAGCTCTATTTGTCCGTTTGGTAAGGCATAGCGGTCATGCGAAAGACATTTAAATTTTATGTGTACATATAGTATATCCTTCTCTCAGTGTTAGGAATATCCCGACCCCAGCGCCTCCTATCGTGTAATTCGTTAGTCCAAATGTTCAAAATATGAGCCAAATCGGCAAGTAAATGCAACCAGCGCCACCTAGCGAGCAAATCGGTCCAGCCGTTTAGTAGTTTAGTGACATACAATATACAGAAAACTCTATGGAATTGTGAATTTGTGTCGCCTCAGCTCTCTTCTTTTTTTGGCAACAACGATAAAAAGTTTTGATTTTTTTTTTATCGAAAAACCTTCCACACGGAAGGTCAAAAAAAGTGCTTTTTACAGAATTACAATCGGTTCAGCCGTTTGGTCAGGCATCGCCGTCATATGGAAAACATTTAATTTTTGTATATATTGAAGAGAAGAAAGAAGATGTAAACATTTGGCTATATCTATCGCGCTTCCTTTTGGCTGTTACAAACAACCGTTATGCGAATAAAGTTACATATAATACCCTTCTGCACCAGTGGGCTCGGGTATAAAAAATTATGTATTTGTTTTTGTAAATCCCCTACTTATTTAGCCATAATTAAATTTTTTAGTCAAAAAATTTGTCAAATTGCCCATAGTGCACTTTGGGGCGGTCATAAACTGAAGCGGGTATCATTTGGCTTCGTGTTTGCTGCTGCTTAAAAATTTAAATTGGTTTCGAGTTGCCCTCTTTATGGCTAAATAATCCGCAATTTGCTTGAAAATGAAATTTCACATTTTGGCATTTTCTTTATTTGCCGCACTTCTATACTTAGCTCTGCTTACCGTACTTACAACTACCTTTCTAAGTTTTTCGCCAATGTACAATAAGTATATACTTATGTGCGTATGTGTTGGTGTCCTTGTAGCAGCAGCTTTTGTGATGCAGCTTATGCATCCGTTCAATGCTACCCATTTACAAAGCGAATGGAAGGTACTACAATTGTAGTGGGTGGTGGTCATTTGTAAATATTTATATTTTATACAAACAATGTGTTTGCTATGTGGTTCGATGTGAAATAATTGGCAAGTGGACTTCGTTGTGCTTACCTTTACCAAACTGGTTAGTAGTAACTAGTAGATCTGTTCTTTCTTTAGCACACACAGCAATTATTGTCAAAACATAATCTTCTGATTTCGTTGCCAAAAGGCAAGTTTCTAAGTTAATATCGGGTTCAAAATTAGTATGTACAATATTATTCGGCTTTATGTCACTATTAAATACTATTTTTTTGAAAAATTGGGAAAAGCAACAAAATCTCAGCGGCAGTAGTTTCTAGACTTCAGCAGGAATCGAACCCGCATCGTCGACGTGCAAAGTCAGCACATTTACCACTGAGCTAATTTCTCTTTCCTTTCTAGAAATGTTGTCCTTTAACCTGCTACATATAATTTTCAGAAAGTAACTGCATCAAAGTGACTCGGTTCTCTTAAGCCAGTTCAAACTTTGAAGTAAGTAGTTGATAGTTTGGACTCCGATTACAGGGCAATAATCCAAGTCTCAGTATTTAAGCAATATTAAAAAAAAAAAAAAACAACCAACAAACTTTCATAAAAATTTCGAGCACAGTAGAAGAGTAAAATTGAATTTTTTTGTTCATTTATCGCGCTTGATATTATTATTTTTTTGTTCAGAAAACTACTTAATATAGATACTGCAATAACTATAAACATTTGTATATTTTCGCCAGTGCTCAGAAAATTATAAATCTTATTACATTAAACGAGTAATTCTTGTATATATATATATCCATAGCGTTCTCGGAAAC